AGTGGAACCGATCTCATGTGTGTGGACATTTAATGTTGGTCCGAGCCGCTTCATACCACAATACCGCGGAATCCAAATAAGACAAGGGAAGCACGCAATTTGAACATCAACACCCACAACTTCTTTGTGTTCAACTCGTGCATATACATCTGCGCAAAGACCTAGCTATGATACCACTGATGGGGAACGAACCATGAAAATCAAAAAAATTCCTACGAACACCCAAGATCTAATCTTGGAGGTGTATAGAAACGAGAGGGGAGTGGTGTCTACATAGCATTGTAGACCGAAAGCATTAACGATCTAGAGATCGTGGTTGGCGTAGTCGTACTCACGTCGCGATCCAATCCGATCCAAGTACCGCACGTGCAGCACCTCTGAGTTTAGCACACGTAAGACTCGGCGGTGTCCTCTCCTTCTTGATCCAGCAAGTGAGGGAGAGGAGGTAGATGAGATCTGAACTAACACGACGGCGTGGTGATGGTGGTGGCAGCGGAACTCTGGTAGGCCTTCGCCAAGCGCGTACGTATCGGTGAAACGTGGGAGGAGTTGGGAGAGGTAACGGGCAAGCGTCGAAAGGGGGGCTGCCCCCAACGCCTCCCCACCTTTATATAGGTGTGGAGGGGGCTGGTGGCTTGCCCTCCAAGGCCCTAGGATCGTTGGTCAAAGGGGGGTCCCTCCTTTCCTTCCCCACATATCGTTATCCCCCCTTTTAGGGGATCTTGATCTTATCCCTTCGGGATATGATACTATTCCTTTAAGGGAGGATCTTGGTGCGCCTAGACTAGGGTTGTGGGGACTTTCCCCACTACCCACTGTCATGTGGGTCCCCAAATCAGGTGGGCCCCACTCCGAAACCTTCTAGAACCTTCCCGATACAATACCAAAAAAACTCAAACTTTTTCCGGAACCCCGATAACAACTTTTCATACATGAATCTTTACCTCTGGACCATTCCAGAGCTCCTCGCGATGTCCCAGAACCCATCCGGGACTCAAAACAACCTTCGAACTTTCCAGAATTAATATCTCAACACTACCCTAGCGCTACCGAACGTTAAGCGTGCGACCCTACGGGTTCGAGAATCATGCAGACATGACCGAGACTTCCCTCCGATCAATAACCAATAGCGGGACCTGGATTTCCATATTGATTCCTACATGTTCAACGAACATCTTTATCGGTTGAACCACGATGTCAAGGATTCAGTCAATCCCGTATGCAATTCCCTTTGTCCAGCGATATGTTACTTGCCTGAGAGTCGATCGTTGGTATCTCCATACCTAGTTCAATCTCATTACTGGTAAGTCTCTTTAGTAGTTCCGTAATATAATATCACGTGACTAAACTCATTAGGCACATGAATTTTCTTATGATGTTGTATTACTGAGAGGGCCTAGGGATATCTCTCCATGACACGGAGTGACAAATCCGAGTTTCGATCCACACAACCCAACATACACCTTAGGAGATACGTGTAGAGCACCTTTATGATCACCCAGTTACGAAGTGACGTTTCACACAAGGCATTCCTCTGGTATCCGGGAGTGGCATGATCTCATGGTCTAAGGAACCGATACTTGATATGAAGAAAGTTATAGCAAATAACTAAACGATCTGATGCTAAGCTTACGTGTTGGGTCTGTCCATCATATCATTCTCTTAATGATGTGATCCCATTGTCAAATGACAACTCATATCCATGGTTAGGAAACCTTAACCATCTTTGATCAACGAGCTAGTCTAGTAGAGGCTTACTAGGTATACGGTGTTGTCTATGTATTCACACATGTATTTAAGTTTCGGATCAATACAATTCTAGCATGAATAATAAACATTTATCATGAATGAAAAATATGATAATAACCATTTTATTATTTCCTATAGGGCATATTTCCAACACGCTTGTGCAGACCACCGCGGCCATCGCGGCCCCACACCCATGACCTTCGCGGGCCATTGATGTGCTATAAACAGGCGTGTGCGCGCACGAATCGGTCGCCAGAGAAGGTGGGATTGCAGCGGAGGCGGGTGGTAGAAATGTCGGATAGGAGCCCTAAATCGACATCTATCCGGTAAATATAGTGGCAGAGTTGGAATGATATGGGCCTACAAGTTGTTTTTTGACCGGATATGCAGGAGCTCCTATTTGCCGCGTTCTGCAGCAAATACAAGCCTCATCGCACATGATGCGCCGACTAGGTTGCCCTATTCAGTCCACCACGAATACGAGGGTGAAAAATGGTAAAAAGGGTTTCACGCGGTGCATAGAAATCTAGCCCAACACTCCCTACTTGTGCAAGCTTGTTGCTAACCACTACGATCGAACATCTCTCTGGACAGAAATCAGCGGAACACTAAAAGAATAACGACAATATCAGACTTAACACTATTTGGCAAAATCCCAAACAATTTTCAAATCTTTAGTAATTTTTTTGAATGTACGAACAATTTTTCACAAACGCAAACAATTTTATGAAATCAAACAATTTTGAATTTCCCAAACGTTTTTCTAGAATACAAACATTTTTGAAATTTATGAACAATTATTTAAAGCACGGGCATTTTTTGAACTTTCACGACAAATTTTGAAACATAGATCAATTTCAAAAATTCCGAAAAAATTTGGAAGTGTGAACAATTTTTGAAAAACATGAACATAAATTTGAAATCTTGTAAAATATTGTAAAACATGATTATTATTTTGCAAAACGTGACAATTTTTACAAAACATGACCAATTTTTTGAATTCTGAGAATATTTTTTTGAAAACATGAATAATTTTTGAATATTTTAAACCTTTTTTGAATAAAAAGGAACAAAGAAAAAGGAAATAAAAACCAAAAAAGGAAAAGAAACAGAAAAATGAGGAAAATAAGAAGAAAAAAGGAAATAGAAAAAACAAGGAAAACCAAAAAACCCGGTTCAAGAAGGTTGCGAAAACCGGCCAAGACCATCCAGAAAGTTCACAAAACCAGAAAAATGATCCTATGTAAAAAAAGAGCTAACTGGACCGCGCATGTACCATCGAACATGTGCGATAGGTCAACAACCTGCCACCGCAGAAGGCGAACCCTATTTGACGCTCGCGTGCGTCCATCTATTGCGCTTCCGCTGAAGCACACAAGCGAGCAGTGCGAATGGGCTGGCCCATTTCGGGCGTTGAAGCAGGGGCAGGCTAACTGTTTTAGGAACCTTCTAGAGGGTTCCCTCGACCGTTTTTTTTCATGTTTTTTTTATTTTACTGGTTTTCGGTTTTCTTGTTTTTTTTCTGTTTCTTCTGTTTCAGTTTTATATTTATTTTATTTTTCCTTTCTTTTTCTTTTATCCTTTTTCGTTTTTATTTTTATTATTTGTTTTAAAAATTGTTCGACATTCCAAATTTTGTTCATGATTTCAAAACTTGTTCACAATTTTAAAAGAAGTTTTTATACAAAATTCACAATTGTTCAGCGTATAGTAAAAAAATGTGCAATGTATATATAAAAATTGTTCAACATATATCACAAAAATGTTCAATGTCTATTTCAATATTGTTCAGCTTATATCACAAGAATGTTCAATGTGTAATCGAAAAATGTTCATCATATGTTTACAAAAAATATTGAATGTATATTTAATAAAATATGCAGCCTACATCACAAAAATATTCAATGTGTATTTCAAATTTGTTCAGCATGTATCCAAAAATGTTCTTTGTCTATTCGAAAATTGAACGTCGTATATTTTACAAAAATGTTCAATGGTTGATTTTTTTTCTGGATCTGTCATGGCGTAGAGTGCAAAGAAATTTGCGCGATCAACTAACCACAAAAGCTTAGCAGCTCAACTGGTGGAGAACGCATACTCGAGTCACCAGGTTACGAGTTCGTATCCTCGGTAGAGCGGTTTTTTGTACTTCTATTTTTAGTAGCGCTTCGCTATCACGCCACCGAATGGGCTGGCCCATTCAGTTCGCGCCTGCGCGAAAGCTCGTACTTCTGACGCTAGCGAGCGTCAGATAGGGACTCCCACCGCAGAATGCCGTAATTAGGGTTTTCCTTGGATCTTCTTGGGCCGAAAAACAGTATATCATGTAAAACGGCTCGACTTATAAGGGCCGGCTATGTTTTTATAGGATGAGTTGCTCTAAGGCCCACAAGGCCACAACACAAGTTTTCAGATTTTCGCTGGTCGCTAGTTTTTCCGGATACGTCACAAAAAAGGATTTCCACTAAAAAAAGGATTTCTATTTTCGCCTTCAAATATCCGAGGCCGGGCTGTGGAATGTGGTCGTGAGGCGGAATATAACTATCCCAGCCCGACGAAGGGCGTCTTTATTATACAAACCCTAAGCGGCGGAGTAGATCTCACCACTAAAAAGCGAGCGGCGGCAGTGAAAAAGTCGAGGCGAGGACGCCCCCTGAGATAGAGAAGAGTTCATGGAGCAGCTGTGTGAAGTTCTTTCTTGCGGCCCTGCGACCGAGAGTAGGGTTCCGGATCGCCGTCGCCTTCGCGAGAAGAAGGGGAAACGCAGGGAGGATACACTGAAGAGTGAGAGGTCAAATTTGCGAGCCCCCCTCGCATTGTTGCATGGCAGTAATTTTGATTCTGATAGTGGTCACGAGGACAAGGAACCTGGAGATCCCAACATAAGTGATGAGGGTGTTGATGAGATGGACAGAGGCAAATCACCAACACAATTAGCCATGGAGGCCAAGGAGATGGCCGCAGAGAAGGCGGATTTCGCTCGCTACATTAGGATCTGGAAGTCTAGCTGGGGATTCGAAGGCTACGGTTCCTTCCGAGACATGAGTGAGTACTTCCTTCCTCACTTGTTTTTTTTTTTTGCTTACACCCTCTCTTTTTTTTGTACCTTCAATCATCTTTCTTTTTATAAGGGAAGGCAAGGGATTCACTTTATTTGCATCTTATATCTGGTACTGCTTGTTCATGTTAGAAATATTTCTAACACACGCTTCCCTTAGTTGGGTGTGACCCATGCAGCGACATTGAGCTCCATGCACTTCACAAACTCGATACCTGGTAGTGACCCATCAGACCGTGGGACAGTCGCGCCTACACTGCAGGTCTTCTCCATCAAAATCTCAGAAATAAAAGGCGGCTTGCGGTGGCCATTGTCTGTGTATGGCGTGGTTGCAGCACGTGACGCCGTGGATCACAACCGCAACCTTCTGTTTGCTCGCGATAGGAGTGTGTACCAGACAATCAAAGAAGACGTATGTGTACTCTGTATTTTCTTTTGGATATTTATGTTGATACTTGCCAGCCGGCCTCTGTTCCCTCTTGTTGATTATAGTAGCTAATGGTGTGGTCGTTGATGATTGCAGGATCCTTATTTGCGCTTGACTGGCCCCTCCCGTGCAATTGTGTTTGGGGATCCCGTGGACTTTGAAATCCAACTGAAACTAAGAGGCAGCACAGCGGCTCGAGATAGAGCATTGATCACTAGTACAGAGCGTTACTCCACAGGAATTGGTACCATATGCTTTGAGAACTGCTTCTGTACAACAGAGTTAAAGTTGGAGGCGATTGAGAGGTCGGTCCAGGCCACTATCTTGAGTGTCTGTGTCAAAGGGGGGCCATGGCCTTCCAAATATGGAGGTAGAGTTGTTTGCTATGCGCCATCACGGTCAGGTGAGATCAATGGGGAAGTGGTCTTGTCCGATTCATGTAGCGGAGGAATGATGCCTACCGGTTTGAGTGGTCACCTTCGTCTGTCAAGGAATGTTGTTTCTGTAGAAATGCAAGGCAGTCTACAAGTTAGCTTACAGGCATACTCATCTTCTGGTGGGTTCTCTCAACGAAAAGTTGTGTCCTTCAAAGCTAAGTCGTGTCTCATAAGTCAGGCTAGTGTTACCTTTGGTGGCGCTAAGGTGGAGATTACAGTTGCTTGGTCCCGTCTTGTTTCAGAGAAGGAAGATATCACAACAAAGGGCTGGGTGCATGGACTTGGAGATTCAGACAAGGTGTGATCCAGGATATTATGAGTAGTAGGTGTGAAACGAGAGACCAATACCAAAACCAGACCTCTGCTCATTCTGTCCATTTGGTTTGGTGAAGTGTGCTTAGTATTTATGTATCTATTAGCTTTGAAAGATCTCCAACTTATTAGTGTACCGAGAACCAACTTATGTTATCCAACTACTTGTGCATTAGCGTATCATCCAACTATTTGTGTACCCATTGTAAGTATTATGTTATGTTTTGTGAACTATTGATGCTTAAGTAATCAGCGGTCTTATCTGATAGTTTGTGTATAGGTCCTCTTGTTATTTGTACTTCATTTGTAATATGGCAGTGTGACTTGGTTCTTTGAACAACTAATCCTTCATTCAGTCGCTCACGAGTAAACCAGATGGGGAGCTGCTCTGAAGGTGAGGTGTAGCGGCGCACATGTTGCTTGCGGAAATATTTGAATCTTGAATCTTCTATTTCATCATTTGTTTTGATGTAGGCAGGTGCATGTTGACTTGTTTAGAGCATCTCGAGGAGATCACCAACAGACATAACTTAAACCTGTAATTCAGCAGCGATTTACCAGATGTTGGGCAGTCATTGCTTTTTCATCTTTGCTAATTTCTCCATGCCTGCTGATCGTGTTCTTCAACAATTGATGCCGGTCTGCAGAGGCACTCCCGTCGCAGGAGGAGGTGGGCATCTTAATCAATGGCCTATTTGGGCCCCCCAGATTTGATGAACCCTTTCTGATGGATTCCTAATGTCAATGTACTTCAGTTAAACACTGACTTAGATCAGGTACCTACACTGCCTCAAATTTCTGTGGAACAATGAGTGGAATTCTAAATTTCAGTTGCATGCTCAAATCTTGTTTCCCACCGCATTTGAAACTGTAAATTGCTTTGGTAAACTGTTTTTTTTTGCCAGATCATGATGACCAACAGAGCTTAAATTGCGTATCTGCTTTATGATCATGGGGTTGGGTCAATGTTTGCGTTAAAATGGATGTTGACTACAGTTCAGAATCTTTGTATGAACATTTGGTGCTGTGTTAATTTTTTTTCCATCTCTTTGTGTTTATTATGTTGGTTAGAAGAGCTTGGAAGTTGGAAACAGTGATGTCTGTGAGTCCGGCTCCTAAATCTGGTGGTTGTGTCCCCAGCTTTAAACCATCAGAATGATCTGCCATGGGTGGAGATAGCCTGCTCACCATGTTGCCAGAACCTAATCGAAGAGACAAAGTTGTTGCCTTGCACTTCAGCAACAACAATTAGTCCCTCCGCCCCATAATATATCTAGTGTCAAAAACGCTCTTATATTACGGGACTGAGGGAGTAGTTTTAAACTATCTCGATCTGCCCCATGTGTGGACTCACTTATTTATTTATTTTTAAAGAAAAGACATATGTCCGACTTAATAAATAAAGCCACACGGCAGAGAACCAAACATCGTCAACGTCACCGCAACCAGAGAACGAGTATAGTACATGCCATAAGCCACCTGCGCACAAGCCAAACATAACAGGGTACGCAGACCCAGGCAAAGTAACAAAACAAAAGGGCGCGCACGCCAACAACGTACCCCTAGAGCTCAAAGGGAGATGACACTAAGCTTGAGCATGAACACCATCAGCTTGAGACGCTAGAAGATTGGCAGAAGCCCGTACTTTAGAAATCAGCATCTCCAGAGCGTCCCGATCCGCAGGTTTAGTCGGTGATTTCCATTGCTACAAGAAGATAGACATTTTAAACAGGAAATCGGTATGGAAAACGCCTTCAATGGTAAATTTATTCCTGGTGGTTCATAAAGCCCAACACAATGAGCCCAAGCCAACCCAAAACACGCGTTTAGCTCGGCCCTGTAAGCCGGAGGACAGCCAACGGAGCTCGTAAAAGAGTTGGGGGCCAGGGAACATGAAGCCAAGACCGAATGCAACTCCAAGCCAGCTTAGCCAGAACACAGCCAAAAAGATGTGGTTGGCATCCTCCAGTTCATAGAAGAGAGAGCACCGATCAGAGCCAGGACCATTATGCTTCCGAATTTGATCGACCGAGGGCAACCGACCCCTAAAGACATGCCAGAGAAAGATCTTGATTTTGGGAAGCAGATGCCTCCCAAATCAACTTGAATCTAGAAGTAGGCAGGCCAGAAATAAGATGAGCTTAAAGAGATTTAACCGAAAACCTTCCAGACGCCGCATGAGGCCAGGCAACAGAGTCCCCCTCCTCTGAGACACTGGCGAGGATATCTCTTACTTCGAGGCGTGGTCCATCAAACGTACCAAAGACGATAAGGACAAGGACCCTCTCCACATACCAGAGAGGGACTGGATCAGCTCTAAAGCCCGGTCAGATGGGGAGAACTACACCAAAAAATTGAAGGAGACGTACGGGCCAGAGGCTAATCCGAAAATATTGTTGTTTGACCCTCTTGTGGCCATTGTCGTGGCAGGCGGTAGACCGAACGGCTGAATGGCGGTTCACCTTGATTCTGTCATAACCTCCTCCCTTCCGAGAGTCAACACGCTCCGTGCTATGTGTACTGGCTCTACTCCTACCATAGAGCATCACGTACCACATACCACGACCATTGTTGAGGATATTCAGGTCAGCGCTTCTTCATTGATCCTTCATGGTCCTACATGTTTGCATTTCAACACGAATGACATTTGCATTGCCATATTGTAGACTCGACTGATTGACACCCAGAAAGAAGGAGATGAAGATCGGACTAAGCTGAAGGCACAAGATGATCTAGTGAAGTCTTTACAACATATGGTGGCCAATCTTTATTCCATGCAAGGCAAACCAGTGCCAGAGATGCCATCGACGCCAGAGCGGAACATTGTGAGTTTCGTTCAAACTATTTCTATCACCATTTTTGGCATTACCATATGCATTCATCTCATTATTGGGTCAATTCATCACAGCTCAATCCATCACAAGGGTCGAACAATGTTCCGGTAGTTCCATCTCAAGTTGGTGGAGTTGAGGAAGAAAACGCCACACAAGATGTTGATGATACCACTCCGATCTCCAAAAACACGTGAACTTCATGTTATGTTGTGTTTGAAAATGTTCCTCGTATGTGCTTGAGAACTATTGCATCTTGTGTGATCTTGAGACTTGCAAACTTGTGGTAGTCGAGTGTGCTTGACAACTATTGCACCTTTTATGCACTATTGCTTTTATGTGGGATGTTCTTGAGAATCAATGCTTTCTTTGTTAAATGATGCCTATATGTGACATGTTCTATGTGTGATGAACTATATGCTGCTGCTGTATATGTTTTGTTGCAGGAAAGAAAGAAAGAAAACGCAAAAAGGTTGTTGGACACAACAATACCGAGAGCGTCTCTCGGCAAAGACAGTGAAACTGGAACTTTTACCGAGAGGGCTCTCGGCAAAGGGTGTAAACCTGTAGCGCCCCTATCAACTTTACCGAGTGTCCTCTCGATAAAAGTACAAGGTTTGCCGAGAGGTACTTTCGGCAAAGATGGCCCTCAGCGTGTTAACGAGGACCCACATGTCAAGAGCTGACACGTGGCGCACTCCTATTGGCTTTCTTTGCCAAGAGTGGCTCTCGGCAAAGATGGCCATTGGTGTTCTAACGCGGACCCACATGTCAGGAGCTGATACGTGGCTCTCTGGTATTGGCTCCCTTTGCCGAGAGTGGCTCTCGGCAAAGATGGCCCTCGGCATGTTAACGCGGACCCACACGTCAGGAGCTGACACGTGGTGCACTGCTATTGGCTCTCTTTGCCGAGAGTGGCTCTCGACAAAGATGGCCCTCGGTGTGTTAATGTGGACCCACATGTCAGGAGCTGACATGTGGCGCACTCGTATTGGCTCTCTTTGCCGAGGGTGGCTCTCGGCAAAGATGGCCCTCGGCGTGTTAACGCGGACCCACACGTCAGGAGTTGAC